AGAACAAATATTTTTACGCGAGTGGTGAGGTGTGCATCGGACGAGTAAGCACAAAAGTACGATTTCGGGTGGAGTGAGGAAAAATAATTTATTTTTTAGAAGATAACGACGTTGACGACAATATGGATTTGGGGTTTTGTGATCACTTTATTGAAGTTTATTCCTTTCGTGTACATTGATGTTGTTTGACAACAATGGAAGAGGAGGAAGACGTTTCCAGTGGCAGCGAGGTGCCAGATGGGGCAGCTGAAGGCAACGAAGTGGCAAATGACAGCCCAGCGGAGTAATATTGCTGGAATTTGTGTCTGTGTGACAGCACCCAATTTAGTAGAAACGAGAAGCCTGCAGCGAGTAATATCGAGACTACAAGTTGGCGTCGCATCGTCAGCGCTGTTCGAGAGAAGGACGACCATGTCTGGGATTTTCTCTGCCAGCACAAGGGCTCAGGGGAAGAGCAAATGGTGTGGCTGGTATCATGGAAAGTGCTACACCAATTGCACGCGTGTGATCCTGAGCATTTGCAACACTGGAGAAGACCAGTGCCTCTGATTTTGCTTTATCTGACAGTGATGTGCATGTAGTAGTGAACCCCAGAGCCACATCCTAAGGCCAACAAGGGCTACCTACCAGGAGCTTAGTGGCTGATACGAACACCGAATGCCATGAAAGCAGAGCACGGTGTAAACACAACACCGAGAACTGGTCCACCCAGAGTTTACGGAAGGGAATGTTTTGTTGCAGGCAGCACTGGAGAGGGCAAGACGACAAGTAGCGAGGGCGAAACCAGCGCTGCTGGAGGTCCAAGCCAGAGCACCTGGCTGCTTGACGAGGAACATACTATACCAGTGTCTGTGTATGTGTGCCAGTGTGTGCATGCGTGTGTGCGTTCACGTTTCTGTGTGTGCGCGCGCGTGTTTGTGTGTGCGCGTGCATGTGTGTGTGCTCGTGCGTACATGTGTGTGTGTGTGCGCGCGCGCACGCGCGTGCATGTGTGTGTGTGCGTGCTAGGCGCTTTCCTTTTGTTGGTGACACCACCCCAGGCTACAACTGCGGGCCGGATGGTGGGTGTCGGGGCACGGTGTTGCCACAATCACTGTGGTCAGTGTGATCGTGTTTCAGGTCAGTGGTGGGTTTTAGCTCACTGCAGCCAAAGCGATCATGTTGCAAGTCAAGCCAGGGTTCCAGCTGCACAACTGCAACAAATGGATTCAAGAAAAGTCCTAGATCTTGCTAGGACGTTGATTGCGAGCAGCAGCCTCAGCCAAACTCTCCATGTCTGTCGGCCCTCACACGAGGGGACATGTAACCGGAAAACGGCAATGTTCAGGACAAGACAGGAAGGTGTTCCGGCCGCGGGACATGCTGTTGTTGCTGGTTTCGCAGCAGAGGAGCTTTGGCCGACCACACGTGCATCCCCTAGATTGCCTTCACTCCCCATCCGCTACTGGACTCTGCCTCGGTGATCAGGCAGGCACCAGGGACATCTGCTTTCCTCGTTCGGTCGCTGTCCGTCTTGTGAAGAGATCAATTTACAACTGACGGCAGCAGACCACAACAGACAACGGGCATCGGTCATTTTGCACTCACTGAGGTGGGTCCTCCTCCTCCTGATCCGGCGTCCTCCTGGAGTCTGTTCTTCTCCCATTGCCATTGAGGTTGCGTGCCTGGGAGACTGCATAGTCGGATTCGGCAGCTGGTCCATGTGTGTGTGTGCGTGCGCGTGCACGCGTGCCTGGGAGACTGCATAATCGGATTCGGCAGCTGGTTCATGTGTATGTGCGCACCGCGCGCGCGCGTGTGTGGATGTGCACGCATGCTGAGAGACTGTATAGTTGGATTCGGCAGCTGTTCGTGTGGGTGCCCGGTGCGCGTGTCGGAGACTGCATAGTCAGATTCGGCAGCTGCTGCATGTGTGTGTGTGTGTGTGCGCATGCGCACTCGTGTGGGTGTGGGTGCGCGCGTATGCGTGTATGTATGTATGTGGCATCATCTATATCGGTAGTTATCTGTGTATTACTGTGTACTGCGGTGGACTGCGATAGCACACATTATGTGCCAAGATGTGCCACCTAGCTGGTGATTTCCAACTGTGTTATGTTGAGTGGAAAATGAGCAATGACAGATAGTTTTTGGTACTGTATGAGTGTGTTAGGCAATCAATAGCCAATTCCAACCTCTTGCATTGGCTGTCAGGTTGGATAGGATCAGCGCGTGCATTTTACAACAGTGGTGACGTACTTCCTATTGTACTACCGTAATGTCACATAGCTTCAGTGTTCATATCATTCTATACTGGAGTATTCTACGTACATGTATTCAGTAATGGAGTGGTTATTATAAATATACTTCCACTCACCAATTCATTGCTTGCTATTATCTACAAGTCCAATTCCAGTATGATGAAGTCAAGAGGCAATTTATCCAGCCAAGTAGAGGAACTTGGGATACGAAATCCAAGAGAAATCATTAGGGTATTCTCAGTTCAGCCATTCACGAATGTAATTGTTATTCTTCAACGCAAACTGAGTAATATTTGACCTTGAACAGGATGAAAAGAAGTTCATGCTCGGGGCAGAGGTCCGCCATTCGCTCCAGAAGGTTACTCACTACAGTCTTCTACGCCTAGGAAGTGGTGAACAAATATCTCGAGAGGTATTTATAATTTAGGACATTCTTTGAAGTCAGTTTAGTTCTGAACGAATGCATTTGTATCTAATTACTTTGCTGCAGTTTGCATGCATGATCGGAATTGATAATTCTCAGCGGTAAAAAATTCAAATCTAGTTTTGTGCATTGGTTTCCGCGTTATGTGCACTCGTGGAATCTGCTCATGGCTTCAAAAAATGAGAATCCGTGAACAAGCGCAAAAAAATCAAGTGAAGAAGGCGAAAATGGCCGCTGCTGTCAGTGAGCAAAGTTGGATGTTTGGCGTCTTCTGTGACCTCCCTGGATCAGTTTCGAATTGTCCAACAAGTGGAAATATCGCTTCAGGATACCATCCTGAAGCGGTGTGCTGAAGGACGATTTGTCCCCTCTCTGGGTGCAACGGTCATGCTAAAACAGCCGATTCTGAGATTTGGCGAGTCACGGACTAATTAGTAATGACGGTACAAGAGAGTACAGATTGGGAAGGGGCTGGGGGGACTACGATGAACAGGGTAACGGCATGCCAGCGAGTAGACCTGAATACTGACAAGAATGTTTGCGCAGCTCTCTCTTGAATACATGGACAGAAGATTCCGAAGTCAATGTGGATGATTGAGAAACGAGAGGTACCAGGTTGAAGTCCTGCTTGGAAGCGGAAGGATTCTAATTGGGAACTCGTGGCCTGGCATGAGGAACATGGATGTGACAAATGGGATTTAGGCCTTTGGCCTCTGGTTGTGGATCTGATCTATGCTCCCCCACCGTCATCTGACGCCTGATCATGGGGTGGTGGCGTCCCACGGAAGCGGAAAGGAGGTCCTTGGACCAGGGAGTTGTCAGTACGACTCCTTATTCTTGACCTGCCCGGTACGCGAAACCGTCCGAATTTTTTTTATTTTTTATTTTTATACTCTTTGGAATTGTGTGTTGCTTTCTACATGGGAACTCGCGGTTTCCTGCCGACTTGAAGTCTCACTTGACTGACTCACGACTGCCATCCAGAGCACACGAGAAGTCTATCGAACCGGCCACTCGGCAAACTGCAAGAAAGCACCACTCCCTGCTCAATACACAGTGTTTCGGGAATTCACCCCTCATAAGTTGAGCTTGGGTTTAACCCACACCCGTCATTGTTGAATATTCGATATTAATAGCGTGGATTTCCCCAACAATATATTTTCATTTTTTTGTTATCCTCTCCCATGCCGTTGTACATAAGCGCGGTTTGCCGCGGATATGTCAATATACTACTACTCAGTTGAGCTTGAGTAGGCTGGGGACTACAGTAGTAAAGAGCACCACTTATATACATGTAGTGCTCTCCAGGCACAAACATCACCAGGGGATACACACTTACGGAGACGCTCCGTTTCCAGCGCGACAAACACCTCGTGAACACCAGATAGCAGCGTGAGTCAGTGGCGCTCATGGTGGTGCTGAACAAGCGCTGAGGACCGCTGGCCATTCACAATGTTGTTGCCTCCGGACCATCTAATTCGCAAGCCCTCGCTGGGGACAACAATGTGAAGAAGACGTTGGTGCGACATCGGCGATACTTGGGGAATTGTGTGTTGCTCCCCGGGGGATCCCTACATGGGAACTCGCGGTTTTCCTGCCGACTTGAATTCCCACTTGACTGACTCACGACTGCATCCAGAGCACACGAGAAGTCCGTCGAACCGTCCACTCGGCAAACCTGCAAGAACCTGCAAGAAAGCACCACTCCCTGCTCAAGTGAGACTGATTCTCTCTCCCCCCCCCCCCCCCCCCCATCCCCACCGTTACCAGTTGTTGGTTACATAATTGCGCCTTTCGCTTGGATATTCCGGCCGTCATGAGTACATGAGTACCCCGCGGACCCGGGCTTGATGTACTGAAAACTATTATTTTTGAAGGCTGGGGCCCAATATGTTGTTGCCATTGTAACGGCTTGTATTGAGTGCGTATGTGAAGCAGGGAGTCGTCAAATATGGTATTTACATTTGGCGACTCCTGATGCGAAGGATCTACATTTGGCTTTGCGCCCTGCGCACTAGTGGCTGAGTGCACGCAATGCTCCACCTCCGCTTCATGCTCCAGCAGCTGCAGCTGTTTCTAATTCGGACCGGTACTTTCCGATGTACTGTTATGTACTGTTGTATGCCATTTATGATATGAAAAAGGCCAAAGGTCAAAAAGTGCACCTGCATGGGCTGCCACAACAGTTAGCCTTGTGTCCCGCCAAGCGCAATTGCGCATGCGCCGTGATCTATCAACAACAATTATAATGCATGTACGTACTCGCACGTGTATTCTACTGAATGCGCGGATCGGATTTCTCAGTTCTTTTCGTGTTGTTGCCTACATGTATACACTACAGTGGTAGTAGTTCGACACAGTATACAGTGGCTACTTCCAGGGTTTTGCTTTCGACTCGAGCTTGGGAAAACCTTCACGCGCGTCCATAGCTGCTCACGACAATCATCCTTTCGCCATGTCTCTCTCAGTTTACACCCTGATCGGCGTGGCTCTGCTTGTCCTTGCCGGACCGAGTGGTAAGAACTTGGCACAATCATGTAGATTACTTCTTCTCTTTATACTAAAACTGGCAAACTTGTCACTGTCTACTGACTGTAGATTAATTTAAAGGGGAAGTTAAGGCAAAAATTAAAATTTCACCAGTTGTAGTCTTCGGGGTGCTGAGTCGAATGGTCTTGTTCCGAGAAAGCTGAGACGCTCCCTTCCTACTTGAATCCCAATCGAACTCGCGCACTTCCACCGAAACTGGGTGACTGCGCCCTACTAGATGGGGATTTGCATGCAAAATGTCACTAAAAGCGCCATTTCGTTCTTATAAAAGCACGGATGACCGCGATTGGCCTATATGTTGTAGTCTTTTGGACGCTGAGTCGACTGGTTTTGGTCCGAAAAGGCTGCGATGCAGCGTTCCTCCTTTATTCCCATTCGAACATGGTTGAACAAGTGGTCACGTGCTCCTGGGTGCCCAAATCACCTGGTCACCACGCCAGCAGGCGACAACTTTCACACCAAGGTTCAACTCGAGTTCAACTCGAGTGACAGGACTGCACCCAAAAAAGGTCAAACAGGCTAGTAAGTTGTACCCTGCAGGCACGGTGACCAGGTGAATGGTGTACGCAGGAGCACGTGACCACTTGTTCAACCATGTGCGATTGGGAATAAAGGAGGAACGCTGCATCGCAGCCTTTTCGGACCAAAACCAGTCGACTCAGCGTCCAAAAGACTACAACATATGGGCCAATCGCGGTCATCCGTACTTTTATAAGAACGAAATGGCGCTTTTAGTGACATTTTGCATACAAATCCCCATCTAGTAGGGCGCAGTCACCCAGTTTCGGTGGAAGTGCGCGAGTTCGATTGGGATTCAAGTAGGAAGGGAGCGTCTCAGCTTTCTCGGACCAAGACCATTCGACTCAGCACCCCGAAGACTACAACTGGTGAAATTTTAATTTTTGCCTTAACTTCCCCTTTAATTTAAAGAGTTTTTAACTTCTATGTTAGCGACATTTCAGACACCGGCTGGTCTGCACTGCAGACATCCGTGGCATCGTTTTCTTTGAAAGAAATGTTATCCTGCACTGCTTCCTGCTCTGTTTGTGTGTACAATATTAGATGCGAAGAAGTGCGGCTTGGTAGAGTGCCCGCATGTTCCTGACCTTCCTGCCATCAGTCAGACTGATTGCTGCTCGTACAGTCCCAACGACAAATTGTGCTGCTTTGATACGCTGGATTCGACTTATCTAGCTGGATGGTAAGGATTGGTTGATGAGGGGCTCTGCACTAGTCATGCACTTGCATGGCTAAACACTGTTTTGAGGAATCTGATGTTTATAGTGTTCTGGGAAATAATAGAGTGCATAAAATGTTCAGCTTGTTCGGTTGGTGGGTACAGTATGCCAGATAGTGTTGGGTCTGTTGCTAACGGGCTCGGCTGCTTGAAGGTGTAATGTTGTAGCTGCCACCTTTGTTGGCTTCAGGGTTCACATACTTTCTACTGAAGTATACAATACATACCAGTTGGCCGATGGACACCTTCTGGCTAGAGCAACTCTTGTGTAATCAATGGTGCTAGTGAAGCCTTTATCAGATCCACTTTGATTAAGCCACCCACACTAGCATCTTAGTATTGCCTTCACTCGGACCAGGGGTGAATGCAGTTGGATCCCGGGGACTGATACCTTGATGAGGTCAATCCCTTTTTCTGCACCTCGTCCTCGCTCACTGACTGAGGTGTGCCGGGCCCATAAGTAGGATCATTTCCAAATCCAAAGTTTAACCCGGAAACTGAGCCAATAGAAATCGTGGATAGCCGTGGATTGTTGCTTCATAACTCGTTCCGATGTGTTTTTCTTCTATTTTACATTTCCAAATCCACCCAGAGTTTGGGGATTTCAGAGTTTGTCAGCCATTGGGTGGTTCAATTGCCAATTGAGTCATCTTTCCGAGATTCCTTTTGAATTTCTCTCTCCTCTTTGGGTGAGATTCGCATGACCAGTCATGGCAGTGAGCAAGTACAAATATACATGTGTGTGTGTATGTGCGTGTGTGTGTGTGTGTGTGTGTGTGTGTGTGTGTGTGTGTGTGTGTGTGTGTGTGTGTGTGCATGTGTTGGTGTTGGTGTTTGGCATAACCAATGAATTGGCCGCAGTGGAGTCTGAACAAGCGACCATTCCAGCTGGATCTCTGGTTCTCTTTGGTCTTTCTGTTTGCCCCAGGGCCATTGGAGTGATCGTAACAGGGTGTATCCTGATAGTCGGCGGCATCATCCTGTGTTGCTTGTGCTGCGCGTGCTGTCCTCTTGTCCGATACCGTCAGCGGAAGCAGCTGGCAATCGTCACCACGGCTACGTACCCATCCTCAGGGCCTGTAACCCCTGCTTACCCGCCGTGTGTAGCCACCACCACCACTGTTACGGCAACGCGTGCTTAGTGGGATGTAGCAGACATCGCTGACACCACACCATCAAGTATGTAACCATGGCAGTACTACAAGTACAGGCCTACTACACATACTGTTAGAGATGAAAGAGTGACGAACCAAAAAGTCTAACTATTTGCATTGTTTCCACTTTGCGGGCACAAAGTTTAACGACCCTGCTATCACGCACCCGTTCTTTATTGCTCTAGTACAAAGGAGAGAAGAAACAGTTTGTAAGAACATTCACACGGCTAACAATGGATCGTTTCTTGTTAAATCGTTAAAAATATACCGCTGTGCCTCGTTATGGATTCAACTCATAAAGTAATGCAACTCCTAATGCTACATTCTGTAAAAGCAGAAATTGTCGGTGGTGTTTTATTTTCGGTAACTTCGGTGCCGACAATTTTTACCGATAATAAAACGCACCGAAAATTTCGGTACAACCGATATTGTATACATGTAGTACTACAGTAAGATCGGGCGCCGAAGAACACCTCGCCAAAGAACGCCCAGGCTGGAAAACCGGCAAAATTTAAGAACAGTCCAGGCTAGAATTATCAGATTTAAGAACACTAGATCTACATTGTACGTAGATCTACATTGTACATGTACGGGAGGTGAGTACATGTCATGTACACGTGTAAACAGTAACTGCTACATGTTTTGTTTTTTGTTTTTTTTCCCTTGCCACTGTTGCAGTTCATCATGAAAATAAATCCGAGAAGAAAGAAAAGGCCCAACCCTGCCCTGCCAGTTATTTGGACTTACGGGGGTCGCCATGGCAAATAATAAACATAAAACTGCACACGTTCGGGCTCTCCGCCTTCTCCGTGAAATTATAATACCGTAAAAGAAAACTAGAGGGGAAAAAAGAAGCAACAATGGGGAATAGGAACTGATTTAGGAACCACTTGCAGTCAGTTACACAGGGCAGCGGGCCTCGGCAACGGCCAAGGTAGCAGATGCATCCGCCACATCGCTGACGCGCATGGGGCGTCGCCGAGCACCACGCAAACAAACCATGCTGGAGCGAACCAGAGCAAAGCCAAGTCGGCAGCGAATCCACGCCATTACACGGTTGTACGGCTCCTTCGTTTTGTCGGACAGGAGCCCGGCAATCCGCTTATAGCAGGCTGTTGCCGACTTGCCCATGCCGCCTGTTGAGGAGAGAACGAGAGGTGAAAAAGTTGCATGTTCGATCTCTCGAACACGCTCCTCATAGCAGCGGCGTTTCTCCCGTTCGTGGCGCTGGTAGCAGGAGGGTACTGAGGTGGAGCGATTTGAAGCCGCGAAAGGGTTAAAAACCCGTACGTCGAAGAAAGTGCGGTCAAAACGCCCACCCCAGACACCACTCGCTGCTTTATCCAGCCTAGCCTGGGGGTCCGTTATGGCAGAGCGGTAGCGGAATGCTTCCCCAGTTACCGGCTGCAGGTGTGGTTCAGTGGTGACGTTGTTGGCGACCCGTTTGAGGAGACCAGCCGTAACATCTCGTACCTCATTGTGCCTCAGTGAGGGAAACCCACCCAGAGAGCACGACAAGGCGTGGGCGACTGTGAACGATGCACCACACGGGCAGATCGATGGAAGGTGGGCTGGCTGCTACATGTACAGTCATTCCCATTTACGAC